GAGTAGACCCTACTTCGACATTTTTCATGGAGATGAAGGACCTGGTAAGATATAGAGACAACGTTTTCAACCTAACAGTGTTCGCGACTGTCAAATCTCTCCAGAAATTGACTGTCTCCAAGGCGTTAGACCCGGACAAAATCTCTCCTACAATGCTACGGCTCTGAACAACAGAATATGGACTGGTGCTTAGAGACACATTCAAAACCTGTCGATATTCAGAACAGTCCCCGGCTGCATGACTAATGTCACACACAATGTCGCTTCCAGAAAAGACTTGAGAGACAGACTGCAATAATTATCGTCCAACTGCAGTCACTTCTTGCCTCGCTAAATGTTTCGAGACACTGCTACTCCCATCAATCGTTGGAGCATGAGTCCCGCCTTAATCCACTAGAGATTGGCTTTAGACACGGGAGGAGCACCGCTAGCCTGTGATATGATTCACCAACTCAGTCGTGAGAATAAAGTGGTACAATATGCAATTTTGGATTTCTCATTGGTCTTCACCTGTATGCCATGAGATTGGTTACCTTCCATTCTGCAGCAGTTCGAGTGTGGTCCGCATATCGTGATTAGCCTTTCTGCTTACCTATCCGGTCGCTCGCAGTTCATCCGTTTTCTATAGTTTGTCAGAGATAGTGCCAAACACTGTTGGCGTTCCCCAGGGTTCCGAATTCTCGCCCCTGCTGTCTTCTATCTACACCAATGAGTGCCAAGTCATCTAGCCTCGCTTATGTCTCAAATACGATGAAGATACCGCAGTTGTAGCCTTAAAGGCAAGTAATGAAGAGGTGATAGATAGGTGATAGAGATGACTCCTCTACCGGCGTTAAAAACTTGAAAGGGTCGGTTAGTACTAAGGATCTGAAGATGAACGTTAGAAAATGCTTCGAGGATGTCTTAGTTAGACGAAATTTGCGCTCGCCTGCTTTTTTGGATTTCTCTACAACAACCGATGAGTCCATGTCTATGTATTCAAGAGCGCTGTTGTTCTGTATGGAGTACATCTTAACGACCGGTTAACATGATGTGATCATGTTCAACGAATCACTTCAAAGCAAAGAACGGCGTCTTTCTACATCAGAAGGGTACGATAGGTTGGAGTTTCAAACTGACTTAGGTGATATTTCCGGCGCTTCTATGCTGCATCAAGTGACCTACGCGACATCGGTGCTCCTGCTGCCCGCGAGTTCGCTACAGAAAGGCGCTGTCTTTGATCTTCTGGAAGGTGAGCTGGGTTTAATTAAGAGTGCGTAGCTCGACTCGTAACTTCTATGGCCTGCGCCGCCATAAAGCGGTTCACTAAGAAAATTCTAAGCGACCCTTCACACCATCAGCACGACTCTCTAGACAGCTGCCAGTCGAGAACGAAAGCGATTCATCAACCGCACGGAAAGAAACCTTTAGGTGATAAATGGTGCCTCATCTTATCCGGATGCTCAAAGATTAATATCTACATGAATTCGAAGAACTCCACACCAAATTCAATTTTAACTGTCCCTTAGTTACGAGTAAATTTTTACTTAATTGTGAACCGACGTTTCTGCTTGTCTATTCTGTATTACGACTGCATCGAACTTCGAGAAAGTAGATAAACACTGTCTACTATAGAAGTAAACTTTATTTGATTTGGTGTTCTGGGGTGATCATTCCAGAACAGGAGATAGGCAGGCCATACCGTCTGATGCGAGCGCCTCTTATAGCGGCATTTCTCCTTGATCCACACCTAACTGCTCTCGATCTTACAATCAGCACAAGGGACAACCTCTTGTACTGCTGCTGACACTCCTCTTAGCTCAAATATTACGATTAATGCTGCGAGAATGCACAGTTATTAACATGTGATAAGCCATTATCTCCATGAATACATTGCATAGACAGTTTTACCTGTTTATTTGGAAGAAGGGGCATATCTTGTGAAATCGGAGACGTGGTGAGTCAAAAAAATGTGGCAACGTAAATAATTAAACAGCATGATCGTAAGCCCGGATATGACCACACCACAATACCACGACATCGTTGCTGTTCGCAGGTCAACACCATATTATTTGTTCCTCGGCTGGCAAAAACAACGGCAGGGTCAATATTAAGGAAACATGAAGTAACGCAGATTCGAACTTGCACATCTCCAGTTCAAAGATGGAAAGCTTTCATAGAAAGCCACGTTATGTGACAGCATACTCTCAAATAGGGCAGTAAACTACATACTTCTTTAGAAAATGGACACCAGTGGCATCGTAACTGAAATCCAAATA